CTTACGGATTCCCACCGTTCGTGCAATTCTCCCGTGTGCAGAGTACCACGCTCGCAGTAAATCCTCGCCGTTACGAGGGAGCGAGGAAGGCATAGATTGTCGGAATTTTTTATTTGTAAAATCGAGCATTTCGCGACGCTTTCTCGCGTTAATTTATTTGATCCCCCGCGCCCCAAAGGTACTGCTACGTTAAAAACGCGTATGGTGAAATCCATCGCGATATCGAAACCCCCGGCGCTTTGCGATACCGAACTCACGAGTTTCCATATGTCCTCGTGAGTCAAATCTCGCGCCGGACGAAACGAAAGACCTGCAGGGCCATGCGATAAATTTGGCGAATCGAAGAATAACCCCACGTAATCGCCCGGTCCGCTCAAACGTATCGCATATGCGTGGATTTCGCGAAACGCGTTTTCTAAATAATTTACGATATCGCTAGCATCCTCCGCGAGAGGACGTATCGCGAATGTCGCCTCCCTACCTAGTACTTCAAATTTTTGAAATTTACGTGAGTTTTCCGCCCGTAACAATATAAGTGAAATTTTCACTGACCGTGTCGCTGTCGTCGACCGCGGCATCCTCATCGGTTAACCGGTGCTCCTGCTGTTGCTGCTGCTGCTGATGTTGCTGATGTTGCTGCTGCTGCTGCTGCTGCTGCTGTTGCTACTGCTGCTGCTGCTGTTGCTGCTGGTGATGCTATTGAAGATCCGTCGAATGATTCTGAAGCTGGTGTAAATAACGATCTTCTTGTTCTTCTTCTTCGCGTGAAATGCCTCCTCCTGTTTGTACTGAAAATGGGAAACAAAAAATATTAATGATAAATATTTTAATTATACTCGATTTTATGTTAGCGAATAGATTCCAGCATACCAAAGGTATCTCTTACCTTGAGCAGCTTTCCTCTTCGCTTTTACAAAGCTTTTATAGAGCGTATTAATCTAGCAAAAAAACATTTAATTATAAATTTAATTAATAAATTAATTATAAATTTATCGGAAAGAATAAATTATCTTAAAATTTAAAAATAATATTAAATTTACCTTCATAATTTTCTGGAGAATAGCCCGTCTGTGTTTCGCACTGATGGAAAACCTCGATCTCTTCTTCTAAAAGCCCATCGCACATTTGCTCAAAGGCTCTTCTCCTGTTTTCTTCGCCATCGTCTTCTTCCTCGTCATCGTTATCGTCATCTTCTTCTCCTTCTCTATCTTCTTGTCTTTCTTCTTTGTCAATTTCTTCTCCTTCTTCATTTACATCTTCTTCTTGTTCTTCTTCGTTTTCCTCCTCCTCCTCATTTTCTTCTTCTCCATATTCAGATTCATCCAGATCGTTTGCTTGTACTAAAAAAGAAAGAAGTCGTTATTATTATTATTATTACCTTTTTTCAAGAATTAGCTAATACGAGTTTTATAACTTTTATTATTTTAAATAATTATTCACGCGGTGTGTAAATTTCGGTGTCGGCTTCGCTCAGAGTCGGCTCCTCATCGCTATTTTCCTCCACATCTGAAACAAAATTAAGCTTTTATTAATTGAATTCGATATTCTGTGAGATAATTTTGAAAGCAATATTTGCTATTTTCTTACCTGAAACCAGATCAACCGTTGGGATACCCTCCTCCTCCTCCTCA